TTCTAGGGTCTGACTGTATCATTTCTATAGTCTTTTCTAGTTTTAACATTCTATAAAACTAGTTGATTTACGACACATTCCTCTTCCTCTCCTGGCTACTTAGGCCCACTCAGGGCTGGTCGGTGCCACCGTTATCAGCAGCGGCAGGGAGGAGTCTTCAGGCTCCTCCACGTCAGGGTTGGGAAGGGCTCTCCGGACCACCCGTGCTGCCCTCCCGCTTCCTGCCTTGCAGGCAGGGGGCCCAGGGCCTCCGAGGGAGGTCGCCAGCCCCAGGAGCGCCCCCAGTAGGCGTGGAGCCCCCAGCTGGACCACTCATTTCTTGCCTCCTGGGAAGCACCCTCCCGACCACATCCAGCTGGTTTCTGTGGGAGCCGGTGACCCCCTGCCCGGGGCCGTGGGAGGGGCCACGCAATTTGGAGCTTGAAGTCCAAGGCAGCCTCCGTGAGTTTGTCGCGTGAAGAATCCCCTCCAACTTAAACGAGCTCCCCCACTGAGAGGCGGTGTCTGGGACTTCAGGGTGGATGAGGCTCTCCCTACGTGAACAGGGGAGGATGGCCCCTCACTCGGCAGGTCATGTGCGCAGAAGGGAGCTGGGGAAGAGGAAAACGAGAGAGGAAACAGTGTTGTCCCGTGAAACTCAACCAGGTTGGTGCTTCAGGTTTCCTATGGACCATGCCGGCCAGCCTGCCTGTTGCCAAATGGGACTTCGCACCTCAGTCAGAGACGCCACTGAATGTGGTGGCTGGACACTGTGGTGCCCCCGAGGCCCCCAGGACAGAAGCGTTCAGCCCTGGAGGAGCGCTCCTTGTTGGTGGCTCATAGCTGAGTCCTTCTCTAGGAACTGCCCTCTGACCAACAGAGCCACCTCACTCCTGCCTGTGCTTCTTCCTGGGCACGACCTGCACCCCAACATAGCCAATATGGCCTCTTTGAGGCCAGCCCGGCGCCACCAGAGCTCCCTGCAGGGCTGGCCAAGGCCTTTGTTATGACCACATTGCACCCCAACTTCTGCCCTTGGTCTTGCTCGCCTCCCTCCCTGTCACATTCACCTCCCCACTGGGGGCTGAGATGCTGGACCGCCAGTCCTTTTGCCCTTGACTGACTACACGTGCTCCATCATGTTCCGATGGCTCTCCTGGGAGAATGCTCTCTCGGTTTGAGATTCTACTGCTTTGTACCTTCTTCCAACTAGTGCTATCTCTCAGCAGCAACCAGAACCAAGTTCTATTCTTTCCTGAGCCTTTAACTGAAGGAAGTGATTCCACAAATCCTTAAGACATAGCTCCTGTTCCCCTACATCCCTCATGGTGCTGACCTCGGAGTCTGCTTGCCGTCCTGTGCTGGGGCTCTTGATGTCTCCAAGTCCGTGCCTCCCCTCTCTCCTCCGCACTCCTCCCACACCAGCCTTCAGCTTCCACTGGGACCCCAGCAACCCCAGGGCCTCACTCAGAACCACGGTCAATGTCACTTCCAAGTGCAGTGCATGCTTCTCAGACCGAATACCACACAACGCTCACCTCCTGCAAGTGCTGTGGGGGCAGGGCCTGGGATGCTCCGGGAATGGATGTCACAAGTTAAGCGGGACAGCCATTCATCCAATGACCATTGTGGACCAGACACTATGTTCCGTGCTGTGAAGAGACTAGAGCTGGCCTCTGCCTATCTTTAGGTATCATTCTTTTAGTGACTCAGCCCAAGACCATTCCAGGCTGCTGGGGACACCCCACCTGAGCATGGCCAGTGTCAGGGCAGAGGGAGAGCACAGAAAAGCACGCACTGGCCCTCAGAGATTCTGCCCGGAAATTATACATACAATTTATTTTTTGAAAACTGAAGTATATTTGATCCATTCTGTGGTTATTTCCCCAGTTTGTGTGCATACTGGGCCGACCTGGCCATCGGCAGTACCCCCACATGAGGGCTGCGATGGCCGGATTGACTAGGCGGGAGACTCTGGAACTTTACCTCCGACTAAGTCTGATGGATCTCAGACAATGACTAGACTTTGACACACCTAGGAGATACTGCAAGTCCAGTTCCAGGCCACTGCAATAAAGCAAGTATAGCAATTAAGCCAGTTGTAATCTTTTTGCTGGTGGAGGACCTTGCTTTCAATTTGTTTGGGGGGAAAAAAAAAAAGCAACATCTGTGAAGTACAATACAGCAAAGCCAGGTCTGTATAATAAACCTAATCAGGTCCTGCAAATTGCACCTGCTGCCAGATGTGGCACCTTTCCTGGAGCAAACCAGCACGGTGCCTGGCGAGGTACACACCCACTGACTGGGCAGATGCCTCTCTCTGTGCCGACCTGTATGGACCACCAAAGCAGTTTGCTTTGACCTGGCAGGGCCAACAGTACATCTTCATGGTATAGCCTAGCCTCAGGGCTATATTCTTTCTGCTACAACAGAATCTAAAGAAATATTGACCATCTTGATATTTCATAAAATAGTATGCTGGTTCACAATATTGATGACATTTTGCTGATTGCAGCTGACAAGCAAGAAGTAGCAAATTCTATAGATGCTCTAGTAAGACAAGTGAACCAAGGAATGAGAAATAAACTCCTCAAAATTCAGGGGCCTTCAATTCAATGATGTTTCTGGGGGTTCAGTGGTGTGAGGCATCTGTCCCCGTCCAGGGGGAAGGCAGGTTGCCATACCTCGTACCACCGACTCTGTGAAGAGCAGCAGTGCTTGCTTGGCAGGCTTGTTGGGTTTGGGAGGCTGCATATCCCACATTTGAGTGTGTTAATTTGATCCATCTGCAGAGGCACCACATGGCTCCCAATTTCAAGTGGGACGACTCGAGTCTTAAAATCCAGAAGATCCACTGATACTCACTCAAGGATCCAGGGCAAACAAGGCGGCTTTATGGAGACCCTAGCAAGGACCAATTGGAGAGGAAGAGCGCAGCCCTCCAAGATTTCAGAGCAAAGCAAATCAAGTCTATATCCTCTTCTGCAGATACTTCTTGTTAGTGATAGCTTCTTTGCCTCTTGGACTGAACAGAACACGTTGCCCATGCGGCTGAGCATCTCATTACAAACAATGTTGTCTGACTTGCTTAGCCTTAAGGTCGGGTGAGTCCAACAGCCATCGGGGAAATGGCATGTAAGAAGAGATTGAGTTTGGGCATGTCCACAAGGTCAATTACACAAGCAGGTGGCTCACTTGGCCTCCTCAAGTGTTCCTTGTGACCAGATGGCTGAGGATAATCCTGCAAGGCAGCGACAAAGGAAGTCCTGTGGGTGGGAGGTAGAGCTAGACATCTGATTGCCTGCTGTGTCTTGAACGAGTGAGGCCCGACAGTACTGACCTACGTAGGTTTATGGGGGATTGCTAACAGCTTGGCGGGACAGTCAAGGACTTGGAACAGCATTTAAACATGAGCAACAAGATCCGGATGGGGACAAGTCTCTCAATGTGGGCAGAGTATCTGCACCCGTGTGCACCCATGACAATCCACAGAGGATGCTCTCAGTGATCGGGGGCAAAAGAGCACAGCCTGCAAGTGTGAGTTGGCTTCCTCCCCAGCCACCCGGCTGGCTTGGCATGATCATAAACTCAGTGGCCTTCAAGACAGAGGTAGAAGCTGGGACATGCTCAGTGTCATAGATTTGCCTTGACCAAGGTTCACCAGGCTAACTCCTGCAGAGACTAGCGTTGATTCCTTGGGATGATATTTCCTAGAAAGACAAGAGCTACCTGGTGGCAGGCTGACTACACCGGGCCTCTTCCATCATGGAGGCAGAGGTTTGTCTTCCCTGCAATAAACCCACACTCTAGATACGCATCTGCCTGTCCTGCCTCTCAGCCCCTCCATCCACTGCTGGAACATTCTGTGCGGCGTTGCTTCTGATCAGGGAACCTAATCCACAGCAAAGGACATGCAGCATGGGCTTGAGTCTGAGGAGCTGTTTTCAGCACATCAGCCACCATCGGGAAGCCGCGGGGCCCCCCGGAGCCACCACTGTGCTGAAGGGACTATGGTCACGGGGTTCTTCTCCTCTGGATGATTCACGCTTCCAACCGGAGACCATGATACAGTGCGGACTCCCCACCGCTGACAGACTGCTCCGAGGATCGCGGCTTCGGAGTGGAAGCGGCACTGCTCAGCATTGCACTGAATAACCTAACTATGAATTTTTCTTATTCCTGTCCTGGAAAACAGGCTTTGTTGCTTTGAAGGTCTTGGACACCAAAGGAGAAGCTTCCCCTGGGGGAGATAACCTTGGCTCTACTTAATTTGAAAAGACTGCTACGCAATGGGGACCCGAGGACCAAGGCTGGAACCCCAAGGGGTTCCCTGGCACCTCTTGGTATTTCTGTGTAAGGAAAGTGAAGGAACTTGCAACAAAGGTGTCCAAAAAAGAACACTTCAGAAACGAAGGTTTCGGGTCACCTGGTGAAGACCAGCTGAGGCCTGAGGGCCAGGGACGTGTGCAAGGCGAGGGAGAAGGACGATGCAGGCGCCGCCCGCAGCCCTGTGACCAGTTACGGAATCAAGGGCAGCAGAAACCGGGCGCATCTCCCCTTGGCTTATTCGTTTGCACGCACTACTTTCTCATCACTGGAGGAGCTTTCTGTAAATGCATATTCCCATACTCCGTCTCAGGTCTCGTACTCCAACTCTGGCAAGGACCCTGCATTTAAAGAAGCCCTTCAGGTGACTTTAATGCACATCAAAGCCTGAGGTCCCACGGTAGTGCTGAATCCAGGGTACGTCACCAATCTGTCCACAGGAGGAGGAAAAGAAGGTCCAAGGGCCAGTGGGCCCGACAGAGTGAGGGAACGCCGGCTGCTGGGCTGTCCCGGCTACAGAGCAGCCTGGGGGCCGGCGGGAACCAGGGCTGCCGCTCTGGGCACCGGGCTCGGTGGGCTCCTCCACTGCACAGGTCAGCCCGGGGGTGCCCACGCCCCGGGGACTCCTGACCCCTGGCCCTGTTTGGCTGCTGGTGTTAGGAAGGGGACAGCCAGCCAATCTCAGAAGAAAATGTAGTTTATTATGACATAGGAAAGACTACAAGCCATTAAAGGAGGGGGAAGAGTCAGACAGTTCCTCAAAACAACAGGTAAAAGAGGTGTAAACATCTTGGTAATTAAATCCACAGCACAATCATTGGAATCTTTTTCTTACAATTTTTGTTTTTAGTTATAACAGTCACTTCAGTTGTCATAAACAAAAACACAAACACAAAAACCTGGCAATTGTACACAATGAAAGCCAAACCACAAGTGCTCGGGTCTATGCGCGGCAGGGGCTGCTGCAGGGCGGGGGGTCCGGGGACACCCCAGCGCCCTCCGGGCGAGGGGCCATGCCGCCGCAAGGGGTCTGGCCGCTCCGCCCGCAGGCGGCCCCGGCCCAAGTCCCCCAGCACCACGCTCCTCGGAACCCACTACAGATGCCTGAAGAGGGAAGGTCTACCGTTTCACTGGGAAGCGCTGAAGTGACAGCCAGAGGTTCGGAAACACAGGTGGTTGTACACAGGCGGGTGGGGGTGGAGGGCCGCCTCGTGCCTACTCGGTGGTCAGACGCACTCGGTCACGAGAGGAACACTACCCAGGGGTGGTTGTTAGGAAACAAAAACACCATTTTCCTGAATTTAATAGCTGGATTGGGAGCTTAAAAATAAAATAAAAAAGGGAAATTCCAAAAACGGTCACGTAATATTCTGTTCCTACCAGGACAGATTCGAGCACGCCTATCTCGCGCGGCAGTTCCTGCTGGGCATGCGGGGGCGAGCCAGCGCTGCCACAGGGGCAGCCACGAGGCAGGAGCTTGGCACACCAACGCCGGAAGGAGCAAGGACAACTGATCTGGGCATGAGAGTTTAAAATAATGTCCGCAAAAGATAACCGTGGCCCCCTGGTGCCCCCTAGTCCTTGTGTCCTCAGAGCGCTGAGCCTCTGAGCGTAAGGAAGACAGAAGAGGCGCAGGGGAGCGACTGGTTTGGGGAGCAGGCCGGCTAGACCACAGGTGACCTTCCAGCCCCCGAAGGCCAACGCATTTGCTCCCCCTCCCCGACCCCGGCATCCAGAGCACTCCGGTCGTAAGGCAGCAAACTGCAGGGGGAGACGCTATGGCTCAGAATTTACAGGCCAGCTGCAGTCAGTTCTCCTTTCCATTAAATTTATTATTAAAAGACAACACCTCTCCCCAAAAGATACCTTCACAGCGGTGCCCCCACACACTTGAACACACGTGGCCAGTTCTGAAAGTCTGCACCGTCCACACTTCTGTGAGAACACTTGCTCTTTGAAAACACCCTTTCAGCCTGTGTTCCAGAAGTGCAGGTCGTCACAGGGCAAGCCGAGCAAGTGCTTAAAAAGTTGTCACTGGGAACTTTGCCACACACAGTGATTCTGCAGGATTGTTGCTCTGCCTTTTCTAGCACCTTCCACACTGAGCAGTAGCGGCTCCACTCCCGCGGGGACTAGCTTCCCCGTCTGCCGGGCTAGCGGCTCGCTCTGGCCACGGCCTGCTTCTGTGCGGCCTGGCAGCTAAGAACAGTCTACACATTTTTAAACAGTGAAAAATATTTCATGACATGCGAAAATGATATGAAACCCAAATTTCAATGTCTATAAATAGAAGTTTTATTGGAACACAGCGAGGATCATTTGTTAATGTGTTATCTATGGCCAACGGATCCATAAAGTTTAACATCTACCATTTGGGCTCTTTACAAAAAAAGTCTGCTGACCCTTCAATAATGATAGTCTTCCTAGGAATGAACACACCACAGTTCAGATGCAGACGGGGCTCTCAGGACAAGCACGGCTTGTTTGACAAACTACCTTAAAGCACCTTGTCCTCCCTTACATCTCTGGGTTAAAATTTCTCAGAAATGGACAAAAACCTAGCTTGGAGGGTTGGATAGAGAGAGGCCTGCAAGGCACCTCTGCAGGAACCAGGCGGCCCCTCAGCCGGCTCTCCCATAAGCTTGGTCGGAGTCCCTTTTCCTGCTACAATTTAAACTACACTAAATGAAACGCAGAGGCACTCCGCCACTCTGGCCACCAAGGAGTGACGGGGACAGTGAGTGGGACAGGCAGCCAAGAAGAAAATGTGAGGAATGGAAACAATAAAACCATCGAAAAATGCTTCATTTGCTCAAGTAACATGATTGAACCAGTGACACCCAGCATGCACCTGCCAGCTCTAACCAGGCCACGGCGCTTCCAAAGGTGGGGCGGGGGGGGGGCGGGGCGGGCAACAAAACAGCACCAAAAGCAAGACTCACTCCAGAATGAAAAAACTATCTAAAGTTCATTATTAACTCTACTCACCCACGTTACTAACGTTACACTTACCAAATTCACCACTGTGGAAGAGAAGAAAAAGGAGGGGAATGGGAACAGGCCTACCGGCACGAAACTGCAGGAGCGCCCAGCCGTGCGCCACGCCGGGCCCGGCGCCACGCCATCTGCAGCACGGGTCCGCTCGGACTGCCCGCCAGCGTCCTCAGCTACACAGGCTCTGCTCACAAACGAAGGCTACGAGTTCCGTACCACACGTGGTCAATACTAAGACTCACAAAGATACTTGCAAAGTCCTCTGCCCTTGTACATCTATTATCTTCTCTACTGCTTTAATAAACCCATAATTTAAAAACGGACTGGCGCCTTTGAAAGCTGTGCCGTCCCTGGGTAGGACTAGAGCTCCGGGCGAGGCCACTCCACGCCGTGGGGGCGCCCACCCCAGGCACCTGCATGCTGTTCGAGGAGCAAGGGAGACACCTTGGGACGCATCTACTCTGCCCCTTCCCACAAAGAACACACACCCTTCGTTCCCCATCTGTTGTGCAGCCCCGAGACCCCTCCCACCACGGTGCGTGTCCTCTCTGTCCCCAGTCCTGGGCGGCGGCGGGGGCTCTGATGCTCCTGGGTACTTCCACGTGGGGGATGGTAGCGTGATGTTCGGTGGTTGGGGGTCATTTTGTGAGGCCTTCATATTTCTGGCCAGCTGAGGAAAAGGCTACTCATATTCCAGAACTTGTTTGTGGTAGAACAGCAGGTACCTAAGGAGACAAAGACAGAGTATGTTCATGGTCTGGCTCATGAGAACTCAAAGCAATGCTGCGCTCCCCTGCTGCGACCTTGGCTCCATGGCCTTGGTACTCACCAGCAGGCTGATTTCTTGCTGGGACAGTTCTTGGTGCCTAGTCCCCAAGGAGGAGGGTCCTCAGCTAGGCAGTGGCAGTGCCCTCACAGAGTGCCAGAGCCCCTTGAGTTCACCCCCTGCCCATTTACCAGGAGGCCCCAAGTCCGGTCAGTCCTGCCCCCCAGACAGCTCCGGTCGCGCCCGGGGCTGCCAGGGCCTCGGGCTCCCGGTAAGGCTCCGTGCCCCAGGGGTCTGCCCCGTCTCTGCCTGCAGCCTATGCGCTCCTCGCAGACTCTCGGCCCAGGGGGCTCCCCCAGAGCTGGGGACCCACAGACGCACCACGCAGGTCACGGCAGCCCATCCCGCGGGTGAGGAGCCTACTGCCAGTCTCAAGACCAGGGCTCCGCCCCGCTGAAGTGGATGATGATGTGCCCGGAAGGGACAGAAGGGGGAGGTGAGAAAGGAGCTGCTGAGGGACCCACATGTGAGCTCCTGTCAAGGCCACAGGAAACACCCGCCACTCTGGGCCGGGGTGAGGGCGTTAACCGGGCGTGCTGCTCCGGCCCTGGCCCGTCGAGGCCGGCACTGTGTCCAGAACACGCCTCCTTACTCCGCCACCAAAGGTGACCTTTCTTGATTGATACTAAAAACAAACATGGCTGTGGGCTCGGACGCCCATGCAGGGCAACAAGCCGCCCCCAACGTACCCCTCACTGTCCAGCACGTCTTCAATGCTGGCCTTGGTGATGATGGCGTCGTCACACTTGAACCACTGGTCCTTGTGCTGCCGGATGAAGCTGGTGTAGTGGCCACTCTCCAGGGTCCCCTGGTGGTTAACGACTGCAAACAGGGAGTATCTGGTTTGGGAGGAAAGCAGTGGGATGCAGCAGGCAATTTTATTGTCGTCAGAAACCACACAGTCCAAGCAGTCAGAGGCCTGAACAGCGAGGCACCCCGCCGACCCCCAACAGTGACACCCAGGTGTCGAAGCCGGTGCCGGGCGCACAGAGGGAAAGAGGGAGACTGCGTGGCTTCTGCTCTGCAGAGCGGCCGGTGTCGGAGACACTGTGACCGCCCTCTTCTTCACTCCGTTGGCCACACCAGGGGTAGAAGGGAAGGCAGAGAGAGCGAGCAGAGTCTCGTCACGGTGCTGGCTGAGGAAGAGGCCCCAGGGCCCAGGATCTGGACGCTGAGCTTTCGCTCCAGAACTGCAGTGGCCAGACCAACCCTCATTCATACCCAGGGGGCAGCAGAAGGGCATCAAGCTCCTACACAGGACAGAGCATCTACGGCAAAGGTGTGCAAAGTCCTTTCCCAATAGGGGGCTCAAGTATTTTCAAAAGAGGTTGACGGGCAGCACCACAGGGAGCAGGCTTGTGGCCTAAAGAGCGAGCCCTCCCAATGCCCCTCCAAAACGCAGCGCTTCCCCGGGAAGTGCCGGGGCCGCCTGCCCCTTCTGCTGGGAGCTGCCGCCCCGCATCGCCAGGGCCCCCCCTCAGGGCTCACTTACTTGTTATCGTTACTGAGGCTGTCTGGCGGCTGCTGGTACTGTCCATTCATCCTGCTCTCTTTGCTGTAACAAACAACAGCAAAACTCAGTGCAATTTAAACTAACTAAAGCAGCAACGTTCAACCTATCATCATGTGGCACACATACACTAAGTACTAAGGTCCTGTGGTGCACCAAAAATACATTATTCTATTTTTTGCCCATCTGAAAAAATAAAACAGAACAAGCATAATTTTGATTCATTCACATTGGGCGGCTGTTGTCGAGCGGCTGTTGTCACTTTCTTGCTTGACAATCTAAAGGCAAAGAGGTGCATGCCCCGACCTCGTGGTCAGGCCCTGTGTGCTCTTCCAGTCCTCACGGCGCGTGCACGCGCCGCGGCGCGCTGGGGGAAGCGCAGATCTGGAGGGACACGTGGGCTGGAGGAAAATCCAATGTCATCGGGGCTTCCTACGCCAGACACAGGGTTGGGTTCATTTTATACATACTTGCTAGTCCTTCCAACCACACTCCTTTCTGGGCAGAGATTACCCCCCGGTTAAAGTGAAGAAACCGAGGCCCTGGCCGGGGCGGTGAGCCGCCAGGAGCATGCCTGCCGACAGGCAGGGAGCCAGCCCCCATCTGCGCGGCTGCGCCTCCCAGCAAGGAACGGCATCTTCCCTGGGCCCTCCCAAGGAAGTGCAGACCTGCCAACACCTTCTTGCTTTCAGCCACCAACTTCCTGGTAACTGGGTACAGTGGCCCTAGGAAACCCACGGTCCGCATATAGTAACTGTTGATTTTTTTGTGAGATCTATGATAGCAAGACTTGAAAACAAGATAAATGTAATCTACAAATGCAGAATCAACTCTGTTTCTCCACATTCCAAACCAGGTCAGCTAAAAGGCTGCCTTCCCGCAGTGACCCCACCCTGGTTTCTCCGGTCCGAGAGCTGAGGGAGGCTGCTCGGGAAACCCCGCAGCTGAAACACATCTGAGGAGAACTAGCTCATTAAAGGGAAGTGTGTCCTGGGTGAGGATCAGAACAATAACTTGGTTTAGCAACTGTGGTTCTCTCAGTGTCTGCAACTGTCTCATCGGAGAGCCGGTGCCGACTGCGGAACTCACAAAGCCACAGCCTCCCGACACCAGGCGCAGCTGAACTAACCCTCCGGTACGTACCTGGACGCCATGAAGGGGGTCATGTCCAGTACCAGGGGAAAGGACACGTATGTGGTAATCTTCCGCCTCAGTTTGGCTGAGTGTTCAAATCGCTGCAGAAAGGGGGGAGAGAAGAGGAGTGTCACCGTACCGGGCTTCCTCCGGGGTGCTTCTCTGTGCGGCCCCCAAATTGGGCTTTTCATGATTGCGGATGGCCTACTGGTCACGTTTGGGGCTTACAGAGCTAATAACGCAATATCTATATCAATCTAATTTATGGGTTCAAGTCAAATCTTGGAATGAAATCAAAGTGATGAATACCCAGTGTACAAAAAAGTAATCTTATGACAAACTCAGCAAAGTGCAAGGGAGCGGAAAACAGAGGTAATATCTGTAACCCTTGAGAGCAAAAATAAACATATTGTTCCTTTCACAAGACAGAAGGCATTCTTTTGGCTGTATCAGAGACCACCAAATCCACAAAGGAAGCTAAGAAAAGTTTCTTGTTTTGTTTTTGTTTTTTAACATATTTGGACTCAAAGAAAAACATGAAACATCATATAGCTGCAAACCCAAAAATACTTACTATTCGACCCCTGGACTAGGTCAAAATGCTAAGGGTCTTTGTTTGCTTTTAAGAAAAAGAAAAACAGAAAACTAGGAGTAAAGATGGAAGAATTTAGGTTGGAGCCAAACAATCCTTAACCACCCCACCCCCTGAAGAGCGCGTTCACGCCGTATCTGCATTTTGCAGCGAGGACTCTCCGTTCCCCAAACAAGGCGTCTGGCGGCAGCGGGAGGCAGGGGAGGGACAACGTGCCACCCACTTCTTCAGTGCTCAGCACACTCAGGGAGCCGCTGCAACTATGGAACCACTCTGCACACCAAACCGACTGTACGAGGGGCTAAAAATCGAGCCTGCTGCTAGCGCTTTCCTGGAAAACTCACTTTGAGATGGAAGCAGGCGACGATGGGCAGCTTCTTCATGGTGAGCTGCTTGGTGGACTCCTGGTAGCTGTGACAGCCGCTGCATTTGATCTTGGCGCTGCTTCCCAAGTGCTCTGGTCTGGTGAATCTGCAAGGCATGTAAGAATATTATTTTTAAGAAAAAAATATGAAGAGGTAAGAGGGCAGTTACTTTACCACTTTTGGTTGATTCATTTCTCTATTAGAAACATACACACCATACATCCATCACCTTCCCTCCTTATCACTTAAAAAAATACTTACCTTATAGCTGAACAGATAAGAAAGCAAGACCCACATGTATGCTATCTACAAGAGATCTACCTCAGAAGAAGATACATGTAGATTAAAAGTATAGGAATTGAAATGATATTTCATGCAAATAGAAATGAAAAAGAATAGGGTAGCAATACCTACATCTGACAAAACACACTTTAAAACAAAGGCAATGATAAGAGACAAAGGAGGTCACTACATAACGATAAAGGGAGGAATGCAACAAGAGGATGTGACCCTTGTAAACTTTTATGCACCCAACACAAGAGCACCAACCTATATAAAGCAAATCTTAGTAGATTAAAAAAGAAGGGCTGACGGAGACACCGTCGCAGTTGGGGCTTTCACGCTGTGCTGGCGGCCGCGGGCAGAGCCTCCAGACAGGAAGCCAACGTGGAAACGGCGGCCTTCGTGGCAAACCAGGCCAGTGGACTTAACTGATACTTTCAGAGCATTTCACCCCAAAGCAGCAAAATATACATTCTTTTCAAGTGCACATGGAACATTTTCTAGGAGAGCCCACATATTAGGACACAAAACAAGTCTCAATGAATTTAAGACGACTGAAATCATATCAAGCCATCTCCTCGGACTAAAACGGTATATAACTAAAAATTAATCACAAGGAAAAAAACTTTTTAAAAAGACAAAAATATGGAGGCTAAATAACATGTTACTAAACAATAACTGCATTAACAATGAGACCAAGAAAGACATCAAAAGACACCTTGAAACAAATGAAAATGAGAACACAACCACCCCAAATCTATGGGACGCAGTGAAAGAAGTCCCAAGAAGGAAATTCACAGCATTGCAGGCCTACCTCAAGAAACAAGAAAAAGCTCAAATAACTAATCCAACTTTATAATTAAAGGTTCTAGAGAAAAGAAAACAACAAAGCTCAAAGTGAGCATAAGAAAGAAAATAATAAAGATTAGAGCAGAAATAAATGAAGAACCTAAAAAATAAAAAAATAAAAAAAAAACCAATGAAACCAAGAGCTCTTTTCGTTTGAAAACATAAGCAAGATTGACAAACCTTTAACCAGACTCATCAAGAAAAAGAGAGTACCCAAATCAGCAAAACCAGAAATGAAGGATAACTGACACCGAAAAAACACAAAGGATTATAAGACAATATTATGGACAACTATATGCCAATAAGTTAGACAATCTGGACAAAATAGATAAATGCCTAAAAACATACTATCTTCCCATACTGAATCAGGAAAAATCAGAAAACCTGAACAGACTGATTACAATTAATGAAATCAAAGCAGTAATTAAAAAACGCCCGACAAACGTAAGTCCTGGACCAGATGGCTTCACAAGTGAATTTACCAAACACTCAAAGAACCAACACCTCTCCTTCTCAAACTACTGCAAAAATACTGAGAGGCGGGAAGACTCCCAAGCTTATTTTACCAGGCCAGCATTATCCGAATTCCGAAACCACATAAAGACACTACGAAGAAAAAAAATTTTAAGGCCAACATCCCTGATGAACATCAATACTAAAATCCTCAGTAAAATATTAGCAAACTGGATCCAGCAATACATTAAAAGGGTTCTATACCATGATCAAATGGGATTTATTCCAGGAATGCAAGGTTGGTGCAATATCCACAAATCAATAAACATGATACATCACATCAACAAATTGAAGGATAAAAACCACATGATCATTATCAATAGATGCAAAGTATTTGGTCAAATCCACCACTGATTCATGATAAAAATTCTCAGCACAGTGGGAAGAGAGGGAACATACCTCAACATAATAAAGGCCACACATGACAAAGGCACAGCCAACATCCTACTCAACAGGCAAAAACTAAAATTATGTCCCTTAAGATCAGGAACAAGACAGGAATGTCTGCTTTCACCACTCCTATTCAATAAAGTACTGGAAGTCCTAGCTACAGCAATCAAGCAAGAAAAACATTAAATAAGATTAAAAATAAAAAACTACTAGAACTGATAAATGAATTCAGTAAAGCAGCAGGACACAAAATAAATTCCCAGAAATCAGTTGCATTTTTATATGCCAATAATGAACTATCCCATTAGAAGGGGAAGCTAAGAAAACAATCCCATTTACAACTGCATCCAAAAAACAAACAAACAAACAAAAAAACCCTGAGAAATAAATTTAACCAGGGATGTAAAAGATCTAAACCTGCAAAATTATAAGGCACTGAAGAAAGAAACTGAAGAAGATAGAAATAAGTTGAAGCACACACTGTGTTCATGAATAAGAAGGCTTAACATCATTAAAAATGTCCATACTACCCAAAGCAATCTATAGATTCAGTGCGATTCCTATCAAGATACCAATGGCATATTTCACAGATCTAGAACAAATAGTTCCAAAAATTTATATGGAACCACGAAAGACCCTGAATAGCCTCAGGAATCTTGAGAAAGAAGAACAAAGTTGGAGGGATCACAGTACCTGATATCACACTATACTACAAGGCCACAGTAAACAGAGTAGCATCGCCTTGGCAGAAGAACAGGCATAACGAGGGAAACAGAACAGAGAGCCCAGAGATAAACCCACACCTTTATGGTCAATTAATATTTGACAAAGGAGGCAAGAGCGTACAATGGGGTAAAGACAGTCTCTTCAATAAATGGTGCTGGGAAAATTGGACTGACCACATGGGAAAAAAAAAGAAACTAAATCAGCTTCTTACACCACACACAAGAATAAACTCAAAATGAATTAAACTCAACCCACTGTAAGACTCAAAACCATTAAAATCATAGAAGAAAACACAGAGAGTAAAATCTTGGACATTTCTCGTAGCAATGGTTTTATGACATATATCCTCAGGCAAGGGAAACAAAAGAAAATATAAACAAATGGGATTCCAAGAAACTAAAAAGTTTTTGCACGGCAAAGGAAACCATCAACAAAATGAAAAGACAACGCACTGAATGGGAGAACATGTTCACCATTGATAGATCTGATAAGGGCTTAATACCAAAATTTATAACTCAGCACCAAAAACAAAATAAAATGAAACAAAAACAACAATCTAATTGAACAATGGAAAAGGACCTAAAGAGACACTTCTCCCAAGACATACAGATGGCCCACAGACATACGAAAAAATGCTCAATTAATCATCTAAGAAACACAAATTAAAACCACAACAAGATATAACCTCACACTGTCAAGATGTCCATCACTAATAAATCAGTAAATGACAAGTGCTGGTGACGATGTGAAGAAAGGGGACCACTTTTGCACTGTTGGTGGGACTATAGACTGGTGCAGCCACTGTGGAAAGCAAGGTGAAGATACCTTAAAAATTAAAAATGGATCTGCCTTCTGACCCAGCGATCCCACTTCTGGGAATATATCCAAAGAAACCTGAAACACTGATTTGAAAGAATATATGCACCTCTATCTTTACTGCAGCATTGTTTACAGGAGCCAAGATCTGGAAGGAGGCCAAGTGCCCAATCAGGAGATGAGTGGCCACAAAGCCATGGTCCATTCCCGCAATGGAATACTGCTCGAGCACAACAAAGGAGGAATTCTTACCCTTTGTGAAAGCGCAGAGGGACCTAGAGGGTATTGTGCTGAGTTAAATAAGCCAGTCAGAGAAAGACAAGTACCATATGATCTCACTCGTACGTGGAATCTAATGCACAAAACAAACTGACGCAAAATAGAAACAGAGGCATATACACACAGAACAGACTGACAGTTCTGAGAGGGAAGAGGAGCTGGAGGGAAGGGATGAAGCAAAGGGAAAAAAACCTCATCGACAGACAACAGTGTGGTGATGACCAGCGGGAAGGGGCAGTGGGGGAGGAGCAGAGGGGACAGGGGGTGACTGAAGGAGACCTGACTTGGGGTGGTGATCACACAACACAAGGCACAGATAATGTAATATGGAATTGTACACCTGAAACCTATATAATTTTATTAACCAATGTGGCCCAAAAACTTCAGTAAAAAATAAAATAAGTAAAAAAATCTTCAAGTTTTTTTAAATGAAAAGTTTGGTGAAATAATAATAATTTTATTCCTACCGTAAGACATAGCCTATCAAATCTGTCCCACAAAAGTGAAAACTTGTGTTCCCACAAAAACTGTTCAAAAATTATCCAAAAAAGCAAAGCAAAGCAAAACCAAAACCCCAGAAAACAACTGGTAGGTAGCAAGACAGATGTCCTTCAACGGGCAAACACTGCACCGTTAAATGAACTATATGGTACATGACACCATGGAATACTAGCCAGCAATAAAGGAATCCCCAAAGGTTACATGTCGCACCGTTAACACGACATTCCTGAAACGTGAACTTCAGGGAGCACGGACACATGGCTGCCAGGAGCTGAGGAGGCAGCAGGGGTGGGAGGCAGGCGGTGTGGCTGGGAGGGCCCCGGGGGTACGGCCGCGCCCGGCACTGCCATTTTGTAAGGGGGAAGGACACAGGGGGAAGGACACAGGGGATCTCTACGAAGCATTTCTCACAACTGCAGTGGGAAGCTACAGTTATCCCAAAATAAAAGTTTAAGTTAAAAAAGTGAGACGTGGGGAAATGGTAACTTTCTTGTGATGAAGACGGATGACGAGATGGACACGCTGCACTGATACGCAGGTGGCCAGCACTTGCAGCACGAGTGACGGTGCAGCTACTGGAGATGAGAGACCCCATGAAACAGATGCTTCAGGGTGGTTTGTACCAAGTGTTTAAAAGTTTAAAGCTGAAAACAAAACAAAAAAGTCGATCTTCTGACAACTGAGCCTGGAAGTCCTTGTTTAACCTTTGGGAATTCTGCCACCTCAGTCTGGGCAGGACAGCACCCCGAGCCAAGCCGACCTGGCTGCCCAGGCCGCGGAAGTGGGAGGAGCACAGCCAGATCTCGTGGCGAGGGGGTGCGCCCACGACACCCTGCGGGAACCGGTCGGCAAGGCCCAGAGTGCAGCACAGTCTGTGGGCCCACGACCTTGTCTTTTCAACGAAGGAAAGGCAAGGAAAGACATGGGGGAGCTGAAGCCTGGATTCAAAAGTGACTTACGAGACCAATAAACCAAGTGTCAAGTTTGGGCCTGTTCTGAATCCTGATTTAAACAAATTTTAAAACATTAAAAAAAGAAAAAGCCATCAGTGAAGCTGAAACACTGGCTGGATGGCTGCTGGCAGGAGAGCAGAAGGTGCCCTGCTGGCAGCAAAGATTTCGGGACACACCAGAGTTGCCTCGTTATTCCCTCATCGGTTTTCCAACCCGCAACACAGTTCCGCCCCATCCCAATCCCAGCCGGGAACAGCCCGGGGCCACAGCTGCCTCTCCCCAGGGCCAGCCAATGCAGTGGCAGGGACAGGTCCCCAGGCAGGAGCTGTTACAGGGCGAGAGGACTGCACACGGAGAAAAACAAATTTAGAAGCCGAAGTCCAATGCCAACCTGCAGCTAAAATTAGGCAAAGGACTCCGCTGTCCCTCAGGCAGCTCTAAGCAAGGGACAGAAGGTAGAAGGCAAGCATCTGAGGCAACAAACTTCCCCAGCCCTGCACCTGGCTGCCAGGAACAGCTCCCCCACGGAGCTCAAGCGCCTCCCTCCCCAGCGAGCAGGTGAACAGCCCAGGAACAACCCGCTTCAGAACCCCTTTCAGAGCAGGTTCAAGCTTGCCAAGTCGGATCAGGGGTGTAAATGTCCTAATCACCCTTGAATTCTGATTCGCATACTTCCCACCAATTATATTTGCTTTGCTAAGGATTATCAATTGAGCAACCAATCGATAAGCACACTCTTCTTGTGACTATACGTTAAAAAAAATTTACACCAACCTAGTGTAAAATGCTCAGCAGTCATCTTTTGATATTTTCTAACTTTTTATTCTTCTAGAAGTTCCTGTTTGTCATTTTTCTTTCCATGTGCAGTGCCCACAAGCACACTTGCCCCCAAACTCTCGTCACCTCAGCCAAACTACGCTTACTCCAAGCCTCCAAACCTGCTTCAGTATCAGAAAATGTGTACTAAACAAGTCCCAGTGTCATAATGAAGAGAACTTGGCTTCAAATTCACATAGTTAGAAATTAAATTATGTAAGATTGCCCTGGCTGGTGTGGCTCAGTGGACTGAGCACCAGCCTGTGAACCAAAGGGCTGCCGGTTCAATTCCCAGTCAGGGCACAGGCCTGGGCTGCGGGCCAGGTCCCCAGCTGGGGGTGCGTGAGAGGCAACCACACACTGATGTTTTTCTCCGTCTCCTTCTCCTTCCCTTCCCCTCTGTCTAAAAATAAATAAAAAATTTTAAAAAGTTTTAAAAAATTACGTAAGATAAACAGAGCCCAATTTACATACTTTCTCAAGTCTGTATCCGCGCCTCACCTTCCCTTGGGGACATCCCCACCCTGGCTGGGAGCAGGGCCAGCCTGCTGCCACTGCGGAAAGCCACACCGGCCAGCCCTCGCTCTTCCCACTCCCAGCAATGTGGGCACCAACCTGGGCTCTGCCAGCTCCAAGCTCCTTATAGGGACTTTGTAATTATGGGGACCTGGAACAATTATTCTGAAGAAGCAGATGTGGGAAGGCTTGTCTTTAGGGGACAGCACCCTCACTGCAGGAGGGGCTGCATATTCCCAGGTGGTGTTCCCAAGCCTCCCATGGTGACGACCTGTTTGCTGACCCGCGTTCTCAGCCTTCCCATGGATTGATTCCGTGAACTACCTATGTCCTCGCCGGCTTCATTCCATCAGAGTTGGTGTCTTCCATTTGCAACCTTGCAGAATGATGACAGGGTAAAGGCAGGTGACACTCACTCACTCACTCGCTGCGTCCGCCAGATGCCCAGCAGCACACTGGTGCTGTGGGAGACAGGCACAGGGAGGCAGTCCCCTCCCCCGAAGGTGCTGCACTTCAATCCCGATGGAAAAATATGACACACAAATGTACACCAGTTGATACAGTAATAAGGCAACAGAGAGCCAAGGGTGCAGTATGAGGCCCATGGGAGTCCCAGAGAAGCACGTGGCACCGAGGGGTGCGCCCTCCTCCAGGGAAGGCACATGTGTGCAGCTGAGGCCACCCCGCCATGGAGAGGCTCAAGGCTCCCACCGCCACCGTCGCGCATTGGCTGCCGCGTGACAGCCACTGAGCTCCCTGTGGTTCTTGGGAAACCCTTGAAAACCCGAACAGTCTAGAGCTAGAAGTCACATGTACCTTATTTATTTTTAAATCCTCACCTGAGGACATGTTCAGTGATTTGAGACAAGACAGGGAGACGGGGAGGGAAAGACATCAACGGGGGAGAGAAGCATCGATGGGTTGCCTCCTATACGCACCCTGACCGGGGACCTCACCCACAACCCAGCTATGTGCCCTGACCAGGAGTCAAACCCGCAACCTTTGCTGCACAGGACACTGCATGAACCAAGAGAGCCACACGCCCAGGGCAAAATCACATGTATTTCCACCAGCTTTGTGATCTACTCTCAACATACCTTGACAAGGGAAACCGGAGACGAACTCCATCCTTTCTCAGACACTTGGGCCCTGCCACAGCCAGCCTCCCATGGATTTTATTTTGATAAGTGTGTCTTCTCCCTCGCTGCCTGTTTTGTGGGCAGTTTCAATTATGTTGAAATTTACCATGAAATTTAATTTTGTGGTAATGCTATTTTGAAAAATCAGAATATTACTTATATGTTTGTCTTCCAAATTAAAAATGGTACCTCATACATTGCGTTGGCCAAAAGGTTCATTTGGTTTTTCTGTACAATGGCTCTAGTAGCACTTAGTTGTCTTCAACTTCATTCAGAACAATTTTGTCAGATTGTATTGTGACAGACATCATATCAGTATGCATTTAAAAAACTTACCAAAGAGGTGAATTTTTGGTATAGCTATTTTAATATTGAAGATGGAAGAAAATATGCAACATTTTCAGTATATTTGCTTTATTATTTCAAAAAAACGCATCTGGAACTCAAAAAGAGAAAGAAGTTTCTCTTTTTGTACAGTGCAGGGAGAAAGTGCTGTGACTGATCGAATGTGTCAACAGTGGCTGGCGCGGTTTTGTGCTGGAGGCTTCTTGCTGGACAGCACTCCACACTGGTCGGGCAGGTCAGGTAAGGCTGGCAGCCATCGAATCAAAACATTAACTGAGAACAATCGACTTTATATTGGGCGGAAGAGGGCCGACACTCAAAATATCCAAATCAACAGTTACTGGTGAAAATGAAAAACGTGTCTTTTATTTTACAGAAAAAACCCTATGGACTTTTTTGGTCAACCCAATATATCCAGATCTATCAGTGTTGTTAACGAAGTTAATTCTAAAATCCTACACATGTACCTTCGGGTCTGCTGACTGTGCAGCAGGTAAACACCAAGCAGCTTGTCCCTCTTCCTGAGAAACACTTCCACTCAACAAGGACACACCTGTAGTGGCCTTGAGCTAATGCGAGGATAAGATAAAGCTTGTAAAACACTAAATAAATTCTAGGAAGGGTTTCTGGCCTTGCCACATTTGTACGTAACAGCTATTGACGTGTTTTCTAGCAACTGTGCCCTCAATCGCCTTGCTTGTCTGGATTGACAATGCAGTAAACGGACATAAGTGCAGGCAGAGCGTCACAGGTGTGTTCTCATCACCTGCAGAGAAAGCCACCCGCCTCAGCAGGAGGGGCCCGTTCTTTCAGTGCGGGCTCCGGTGCAGGTCATCAGCCACAAAAGGTGTGGGACCTTTACCTTTTGCTCTGTTAACTCACGCTGGGGGTAGGATGAAACAGTAGCTGTGATATAGACATCCTACAATGCAAAACTGGGTGGACAGAATATCTTGTCACCGTGCAGAAATGTGACAAAACAGCACGAGTCACAGGTGCCAACAGCAGCTCTCTGCAAGTGGACACATCTTGCCTCGTGTTCTATGCTGGGTGTGCAAAAGAACACAGTGCTGGGGCCTGGGCAGCCCTGGGCTTATCAGGACTTCACTCTGACTGGCCACTGTTGAGCAGCCTCGAGCCAGGAGACAACTGCCTGCAAGGAAAGCCCTTTATTTTTCTGCACAAGTGCCGGCAGGCCTCCTACCTTCTCAAGCAGTCCGTCAGCGTTGTGGTTCCTGCCACGTGGCTGTCCCCGTTCACCACACTGCCCTCACTCCCTGGGCTCAGGGGCCAGAATGGGGTGGAAGAGCCAGGCAGATCCAAACTGATGTCCCAGAAGGGGTCTATTGTGGTGGAGACCCCACTAGAAGCAAAATGAGACAGAGACATGCATGAGAACTGATGTCCACCCCCAGCCTCAGAGGGACCACCTCGTGGGGTGTATCTTGGCACTCGGTCACAGCTCTGCCCTCTTTCCAAATGGCATCTCAGGCTAAAGAAAAGGTATGCACACACCCAGTGCTCCCTGGGCCTTCAGGCCCTGGGAAGGATGCCGTGCAAGCCACGCAGGCGAGGGCCACTTCTGGGCAGTGGTCTCCACACCTGAAAGATTGGCACAGTCAATTCAGGACTTTCTCTGGGCCCCACGTCTGGTGGTTCTGAAGGGTGGCTCCACATCAGCAGCACCTGAGACCTGAGAACGGCCGAGCACAGGACATGACGCGGATCGCCAAGCACACTCCACACAGAGTGGGCAGTGACCGCTCAGCACCCCACGCTGAACAGGAGAATTTAAGGTCGTATCTACCAAAGCCAATTCCCTTCTGCAGACTTATTTTAAAACATACCAATGGGAAACTCACAGGTTGGGAAATTCACTACGGAAATTAAAAAGGTTATAAATGTGACACAATCTCCTGCTGGTGGACTTCAATGGCATGGGGCTAAGGAGGCAGCTATTTAAAAGCCACGGGTGCAACGTGCTAGTGTGGCAGCTCACGAGGAGAGATGCTATTCAACAGAACCCTGCAATTGTGACAGATGCTAGAAATGACCCCTGAAAGTATAGCCTTTAGAGCACCACACTTGTAACACTTGCAGGCAAAGCCGACTCCTCTGGTATCTGGTCTGTCCTACACAAACAGCAAGTGGTAATCCATTACAGGTTTTAAAATTTCAGTGGATCATGACCAGGGTTTTTAAAGAAGGTGAAGTGAAATAAAAACGTGGGAGGGGGCTGGGTGAATGAAAGTGTTCTTCTAACCTCCTCACCAATGCACCTGCCTGCGGGAAATGAAGGCTTTGAGTTCTAAGCATAGAACTGAAACCTGTAGAGAATTTAGGGACACTACTTGAGAGAAAATGGAAAAGGAAAGCAGGAAATACTTCAAACTGACACACTTTGGAGCCTTGGTCAGGTATCTGCCCTAGGTTACCAGGTCTCTGAAGGGGGCTCTTTTTTGGTTCCTGGTTTCGGGGGCCTGAAGGAAAGCAGAAATGAGGACAGTGATCAGTGGCCACAACTGGAGTCTTGCAGCCCCGGAGGGGACACTGCCCCGATGACCTCCACACTCAGGGCAACCTGCTCGTTTCTCGTGCCTTTTCTCTTGGAGCTACTTCATCCCAACACAGGTCAGTATCTGTCAAAATAAAACTTCCTGCTTCTCACCGGGCTGTGTGGCAGCTGCCCCACTGTCAGCCCTGCATCACCAACAAGGCACAACTGGGGCGGCACTGACTCCACACTACACTCTAGGAATCTGAAAACCTAAAAACTTCTCAGGATGCAACAGTTTGCTGACTGAAAAGGTGCCATGATGTTGACAAGCAGCACTCCGTGAAGTCAGTCTCCCTGAAAGCACTTGGGCTCCCCCATTATGGTCTGGCCAGCAGGGCCTGGAAGGCACTCAGCCTTCCGGAACACTCCGAGTCCCACGGAAAGCCTCCACTTACTGGCAGACTTGGCAGGTGACGTCCGACTGCAGCCCCCCGGTGAAGATCTGGTCTATGATGCAGTTGCAGTGGTTGGGGTTGTTGGCCTTTTTCCCATTATCATCACCTGAGGAAGACCGGACCTCTGTGATTCACATCCGCGCCCCCTCCTGCCCTCCCTCCCAAGGGCAGCACGTTTCCGAGGGCCACAGACCCAAGAGGCCGGGCCATGCAAGCAGAGAGGCACCATGAAGCCAGAGGTGCGACACTCTCCAAAGGACCCCTGAAGATGCTTCATGTTCAAAAGACAGACGTGGTGGGGAAAGGGGGGACGACCCAGCCAGACTGTTTTCGATTTTCTTCATCTTTCCCACTCCCTAGGAAGATACACCCTTGGCTTCTTTCCTGGCACCAGAGTGCAGCCAATGCCCAGAGGACTGGGCCCAAGCCCATCAGGCGCAGCACCCGCGCCCACTGCAGGCCGGCAAAGGCCGGTGGCTAGGCTGCCCTACTCCCAGGGGGATTGAGAGAAAACCTGAAAACTATTCCCTTCTCTTGTAAAACAAACTATAAAGAACCTATGATTCCCCTGTTTTCCTTATTGGGGGAAAAAACACCCCAAGAACACACATCGAACGCTCACAGGCGCGTCGCAAGCCCGCACCTTTGCAGTGCCGGTGCAGGACATCCAGGGCCGCGATGAGGAACTCGTGCGCGTCCTGCTGCTCGTACCCCGCCAGGTGTCGCGCGTGAGTCCACACCAGGTGCAGCAATTTGTACGGGATGTGGGGCGACCGGTGCCCAGAGTAAAACTGCTCAGAGAGAGAAAGGAAACAAAATCCCATCAGGCAAAAATGCTATCCTCTGAACACAAAGTGCGCGCGCGCGCACACACAAATATTTAACAGCCGCCTAAAATCTCGACTCATGTAACCGAGTTTACATATCGTTTTCTCCCTTCCCGTATCTAATTTTCTTCGATAAGCCCAGATGATGAAAAATATACCTCAATAAGCCCAATCCTATCTGAATTTGTCACCCAGCAGTGCCCAGTGGAAATGGCTGAAGTCCATGAGCAGAAGTGACACACAATTGCATCTGCCTTTCTCCCATTTGGGCCCAACGGTTCTGCTCAGCTTGCTCACTGCGGTGACCCCAACAGCCACTGGCATGCTGTGGGCAGGAAGGAACAGGGCCAGGCTGGGCCCGGCGTGGGCAAACTTCTCTGAAAAGGGCCGGAAAGTAAATGACTCTGGACTGCAGGCCGGGTGGTCCCTGCTGTGCTGCTCCCAAAGGTCATCAACAGAGACTGGGACACGCCCAGGGCTCCTGTGCCGGAACCTGAAGGCCACCCGGGACCTCGGAGTGGCCGGTGCAGCAGGGAGCACAGGGCCCAACCCGAGGGCGCCTGGGCCGTCATGCTGTCAGGGCTGGTCAGGGACAAGCGCAAGTGTGGCTCACGACACGACCAGGACAGCAGACCCTGACGCTCAGGGCACAGGGGCCACTCAAGACAGGCCTGGGGAAGCACACCCACGAGGGCGGCACTAGAGGAGGCCCTCACTCCCCGGGACACTGGGGGGCGGCACACAGGCAACCCCACGCCTCCCAGGAGTCCGCGGGCGGACAGCGGGGCGGCGGAGCTCCCTCAGCACCGCAAACGCCAGCCACTGGCCGTGCCACTCTCCACGGCTCTTCCTCCTCCTCTCCGTCACCTCCGTGCCTCGAAAAATGATGTCAATAGTGTCCTAGCTAATGATACCTTTTTGGGAAAACGTGAGTCTTCCATAATAAATGCAGAGAGTAAAAACTTACTGTGTGAGGGTTTAGAAATTGCCTTCTTTTATTATATTGCAGTCCATCTTATTTTCTTTTTTAAAAAAGGAGAGAAAAAACGCAGTGACAGCAATGTGACAGGGCCCGAGTCAGCAGCGCTCACCTCCTGGAACAGGGACGACATCTCACAGACCAGGCAGGAGCTGGGGCTCTGCATCTCACAGCGGTGCCGGTCGGAGAGGAAGAAGTCTCGCAGCAGAGGGGTGTGCGTCAGGGCCTGGACGATGCAGTTCATGAAGCACGTGTTCCCCAGGTTGATGAGCCCCCGCAGACCTGGGAAGGCGGGCAGCAGGGCAGTGACCGGGGCTGACCCGCAGGCACGGCTGGACCCCAGCGGGATCACAGCGGTGCCGGACCATGGCCTGTCTGTGCTCTTTCACTCATTCGTTCAAGAGGAAAAGAGCAGAAAAAATGTGAATGTTTTTTTAATTTTTATGCCCTTTTCAAATGAGCCATACTGAGGAATGTTCATCATCTTCCCTCCCCACCCCCTCACTGCCCACTTCAGCCACTATCTGAAACGTTCTGGTAGAATGTACCCAAAGATACTCTTTAACTGCAGGCGACAGGTCAGAATGGAGCCTAACAACAAAATTAGCTTTTAAAAATGTTCCTAAAATGTGTTTCTTCAAGTCTCAGGAAACCCAGAGGACAGGCTCACACCTACAGTCCACTCCCTGGAAACCACCGCACGCAGCCTGTGCCTGGTGAGAGGCCCTGAGCCCTTCACACAGGTGCGCTCTGCGGGGCAAGGACCCTCTCCACCTGGCACCCTCCCTACCCCCGACCCCGCACAGAACGGGCCCTCAAGAAGCGGCCGGTGCCGACAAGGATGAGGCAGTTACTTGGGGGTAGAGTACTGTGTTACGAAACCTGCATTTTTACATCTACGGACTTTAAAACCCGAGGAGTAAGCCTGACACGGAGAAAAGGCAGACAGGCACTCCAAGCGCCGTCAGCCACATACCGATGGTGCAGTTGGAAGTGATCTTTCGCCTTTTCGGGTTGTGCTTCAGCAGTTCAAGCTCCCGTTTGCTTGGCTCCCACGTGGAAAACTTCTCTCCAATTCCTAAACAGATGGAAGCCGGCTCCAGGCGCTGTCGGCCAGACTTGGCCCCGCGCGTCTGTCAGCACAGATCGTGGCGGCGCATCGCTCGTCCGGCCATATTTCAGGGAGGCGCTCATGGCGTGAGGTGCCTCTAAAAGCCTATTACACTGCAGCGGGCTGAGCAGAAATCATGCTGCAGCCGAGCTGCTCCCGGCAAGACCAAGGGAACGCTGCACTCAGTGCTGCCGCGACCCGGATGCTGCGCTGGCTGCGGCCTCCCAGAGCCGCAACCCCGGAGAGACGACAGCCTGGGCACCCCGGGGAGGACTCTCTGGTGAGTGAGCAACACTGATAGACAGAAAATGTATTTTCTGAAATATATTTTGGAAAACACATCTTGTTGAACAGGTGTGCCCATAAAAGATGGAAACAAAACAGTAACGCTATAAATGCTAGTAAGCATCGCATTTCATCCTACTAAACACCCTATTCACTCTGAGGCACTTGTTCCAGCTGCCTAAAATCTTTGTGTAGCTCAGTAAGCTTTACAAGAGCAGCATCCACCCGCAGGCAGACTGCCGGAAGGCTTCGGAGGAACTCTGCTTTGCCTCAGCCCCTGTGCCGCTCAGCCCGGCGCTTCGGGGGTTCTGCCCAAGGAGACACGATACTCAGACCTAGGAGCAATGCTGCTACTGTTTTTAAAAAATCCTCACCCAAGGACATGCTTATTGATTTTAGAGAGGGGGAAAGGGCAGGGAGGTGAGAATCATCAACTGGTTGTCTCCTGTATGCACCCCGACTGGGGACTGAACCCACAAACTAGGCATGTGCCCTGACTAGGGATTGAACCCACAATCCTTTAGTCTACAGGGTGACCCTACAACTAACTGAGCCACCCAGCCAGGTCAACACTACTAAATTTTGGGGGGGCGGGGGAAGGATAGGAAGTTAAACTCAACATTCTCCAGAAAAGGTTTGTTAAACAGAAGTAATTTGGATCACAGCTGTTTCTATTCCTACTTTCTCAAAAACCGGGGGCTGTTTCTGAAGTGGAGGCAGAGGCCGAGGCCGGCTGTACATCCTCTTGGTAAACACTGCGGGCTCTGCTGGCTGAGAGACGCCCCCGGGGCAGGCGGGGGAGCTGCGCCCGCCGCCACCCAGACAGCGTGGCGCAGGCTGGAGGTGAACACTGACAAGGGGCGAATGTCAGGGCAACCAAAAAGAAATGAAGGAATAATAAAGAGAACGGGTGCGGTGTGTCCAGCGTCCCAGTGCGGGCAGCGCGTGTGGACACGGAAGGCAGGAAGGGAGGAGCCCGCGGTGGGAGTGGCGGCAGCGCCGGGCCCCGAGGCACCGCACGGGAGAGCCGAGTCCCGCTCGCGGGGGCTGTTTATGCACAAGGTCATTCCACTCTCCACCTGGCAATATCAAGTCTCTGTTAATACAGATTAAACATGACCCAAACAGTTAAGAGCTTTAAAAGAGATTCTGTAACAATTCAATCTGAAAACAGTGTGCCCTCCTGGACGGAACCTGGTACATACGTTTTTAATACTGCGGAGGGGCGGCTTCCTGGAACCCTGGAGAGCTGAGAGCAAACCACTCACCAGGGGCCACCTGGGGACACGGCCTTACTAGTGCGATGCCTACGAACAGACCCTTACATGGGAGAACGTACATGTTGGTGCACGTTCTTCCTCCACCCCAGCGGAGCCCCTCAGAGCAGCCGCAGGCCCGTGGGGGCCCTGGGGCAAAGGACAGCTCTGGAAGCTGGAGGAAGTGATGGTTGCATCTGCACGGCCAGTCCCCCAACCTGCCTGTCCCGGATCCTAGGCTGGCTCCGCAGGGAAAGCAGCAAGCAGGGGCGGGGGAGAGGGTGCGCGCGAGCGCACGGGGTCAGGGTGTCTCTCCACCAAACAGCAAATATCCATCTGCTGTCCTACCATCCCCCACATCCCCACGCTGACTCTCTCCCTCCATGTTGATCCTTCTTTCAGTGAGTCTGCCCTTGACAGATGGGAGGGAGTTGGGACTAAGAAACTAATGAGGCAGGAGCATCTAAGCAAAACCAAACCTTGCATTTTTCCAGCTCTCTGTCGTTCCTCTTTGGCAATGATTTCCATGTCTTTGTCATAGATGTAGTCCTGGCATAAAAAGCAGTAGATGCCTCCATACATAAGTTCTATGGCTGAAAAGACAAAGGAGGAAAAAAACAAAACATAATTAAAAATGAAAAGGTATTGCTTAAAAACGCAAATTAGACATACAAGTTTTTTAGACATCAGACTGTTTATAGCATTTCCCTGCTCTCAAATCACAGAGCCCTGTCAGTACAAAAGGATTTCCTCCCGCTTGTCTGTCCCAAGCACACGAGGTCTCTTTTCTCTGGAAGCTCCCACCAAAGGCCAAGGCATCTCGGTGAGAAAAAGGCACCACATCCGTATTTTATAAAGGACCCAACAGTCAAGTATCTGGGGACCCTGCCTTTTCTCTGAAAGAGTAATATTTAAAACTTTTAAATATTTAAAACATTTAAAGATTTCTCATTGTTTTAAGTGAGAAATCTTGGCCTGACATAGAGGGACCATATTTTACTACATAGAGAATTCCTAGTACCATTACAAAAAGGAATGCAATAATTATTTGACTATTCTTAATTTTTTAAATCCTCACCTGAGGACATTTTTTCATTGCTTTGTGAGAAAGAGAGAGAGAGAGAGAGAGAGAGACTGATGTGAGAGAAACATCGATTAGGTACCTCTCATATGTGCCCCAACTGGGGACTGAACCCACAACCTCAGTATGTGTCCTGACCGGGAATTGAACCCAGCACCTTTTGGTGTGGAGGACAACGCTCCAACCAACTAAGCCACCTGGCCAGGGCTACTTTTATTTTAAAAGAGCAGAAGTTACCCTTCAACCAGATAACCTCGACTTCTTGACCCAGACCCGCCTATTACCTACCTGTGAGTGGGTCCTGTGTACTTTCTCAGCATCTATGTAACAGGGCAACACCTGACTCCTCACTACATCCTTATAAAGATACATAAGATGAAGTCCTTTGCACAAGGGAGAAAGGTACTATTTCAATTCAACAACGAAAAAGAACCCGCTGTCCTGGAGACACCAGGCACCCCAGGCGTCTGAGAGGCAGCGCGGCCCGCAGGGGACAGCACACGTCCCTGGACAACTGGACTGACCCGGCCCTGCTCCGCAGCAGCTGTGCGCCTGACACGTCCCGCCACTTCCCCAGCCTCGGCGACAGTGGTGACAGTGACAGCACTGATATCTCAGAGTTTTATATGATAATTAAATTAATACAAAGAACCACTACGGGACACATCCTGGTGAACAGTGATGCTTTTATCGTATCTCATGTCTCCAGTTAGCATGACGCAGATCAGCAATATTGCGGTAGATCTGTAAAGTCCTCTAAAATAGATGTTAGAACAGAAAATAGCAATTTAAGAATACCACGCTTATCCTTCACCCCTCCCAAAAAATTGACAAGCCCCAACCAGCTCTTCGCTGTGGCTGCTCCCGAGAGCTCAGCCACTGCCCTCTGGCCCTGCGGGTTCCTCGCTGGTGCCACGCTGCCACGTGGACGTCGAGGAGAAATCTAGTCTGAGACAAACCTAAGAACAAGGAGGGGACAAGAGCATTCAAGGAAGACTACACCAAGCATACAGCCAGCGGCAAAACCGCCGGCCTGGGCAGGTGCGCGTTCCACTCCCTCCACGAGGCACCCGCCACGAGGCACCCGCCACAGCACCACGTCACCACTGCGCCACGTCACCACTGCGCCACACCGTGCCGTCAACGGGCGATCGGCAGTGGGGCAGGACGGTCCTTTCAACAAACGGCGCTGGGACGAGATATTCCCATGCAAAAGGAGGATGCTGGACCTTTACCTGACACTATACACAAAAATTAAAATGGAATGGCAACCTAATATAAGAGCTTAAAGTTAAAACTCTAAGAAGAAAACAGGAATAAATGTTCATGACCTCCAGTCTGAAAATGGATTGTTACATTTAATACCAAAAGCACAAGTGCCAAAAGAAAAAAAAAAGGTAAAATGGACTTCATCAAAATTTGAAAGTTTGTGCAACGAAAGATATTATTAAGTGAAAGGAGAACCTATAGGCTGAGATAAAATATCCGCAAACCATCTATCTGATCAGGGTTCACAACCCAGCAGAACATGCACCTCACGTTCAGGTACATACACAACAGAAATGAACGCCATGTACCCACAGAAACGCACACACACGTTTATCACGGCATTACTATGAGGACCAGAAAGCAGAAAACAGCCCAAGTGCCTCGCAACGGCGGAACGACCAACATGCGGTAGATCTCCCAACAGCCACACGGGGGATGACGCACCAAGGCGCGCGGCAACCCGGGGGTGGGGGGGGGGGCTCGAACACAGGCGGAGAGAGAGCAGCGACACAAAAGGTCACGCAGCATACGATTCCTTTTAAATAAAATATTCAGAATATTTGTACAGAGACAAAAAGCAGATGAATGGTTGTCAGGGACGGGGGGGGGGGGGGGGGAGAACATGGGGTGTTCTGAAGTGATACAGTTTCCAAAGTAGAGACGGTGGCTGTACAACATCACAAATAACTAAAGTGTCTGATTGCATGTTATGAACGTTTCACTTCAATATAAAATTTAAAAACTGAAAGCAGCACGTACAATCGAGGTAGCTAACTTGCCGACTTATTTCTGTCACAGTAACTATTCCAAGGACAAAGCCCTGACCACACAGCGCCCCGGAGCCGTCCCGCAGCAGCGCAGCCCGGGAGGTGCGGGGGCTCCTGCGCCGGCTTCGCTTCTCAACGTCGGCGTCCTTGGCCACCAGTGGACACCGGCACCCTGCACGGGCAGGTCCTTCTCCCTCTGGTCACCGGGTGACCTTGAGAATGGAGGGAAAACACCATCAGCTCAGAGGTGAGCTGATGTCCTGCACCACCCCCCGCCCCGCACTCGTCTAAGATGCAGAGAACGCGCTAAAGACATTACTTTCACACTGTATGTGGCTCAGGCCAAATCCAAGTACCCTTATAACTCCACATAAAACAAAAACCTGAAAAAACGAGTAAGTCTGAAATCAAACAGCTCCAAGTTATCTTACTCTCTTCCTCAGCTACCTGGGATTCCAATGTTCTGTTTAGCACATATACCAGTACAGATGAAGTAGGTTTAGAGCTGTTGGCATGGAAAGCGGTACAACCGTTAGACAGCAAGACAAGAATAAAGTGTGTTTTGTGTACTCAAAACTGTAAACCTACTTGTGCCCCACCCCATGTAATCAGCAAATTTGACTGACAACACCAAATTAGAATAAGTCTGTTTGCTGATGTACTTTCATGACATTAAGGCAATTTTATAGGACAGTACGGACGAAGGAAGCAGACCCTCTCATGAGACCGCTCTCAAATCGTCCTCGTCGCAGGCCACGCCTGTCTGTCCCTGCACACGACCCTCCTGCTGCTTACATTCCGTTTGCAGGTGCCATCACCCCCCGCCCCCCCCCGATTCAGGCAAGACTCCCCTCAGCCTCCGCACCACCGGGACACATAAAACTAACTTTTGGCTTTGCTGACACTTACACAGAAACCCTTCAACACCATGGACTCAGCAAAGAGCGAGACCTTTCATTCATTTCGTCACTTGTTTCTTACAGCAAACTTCGTAAAAACTTTTTTCTAGCGAAAGTAGAGGCAGAGGTCACTGATCAGGCTGATGCAATGGATTAACACCATAAATTTCCGAAGTGAGATTTTAAGTTTTATTTTTCAATTATAGTCTACATTAAACATTGTTTTGTCTTAGTTTCAGGTATACATAGTGGTTACACAATCGTACAGTTTTCCAAACTGTTCCCCCGGCAGTTCCAGAGCTCACCGGACACCGCAGGCCGCTGCCGCCGCCCCGCTGACTCCAGTCCCCGAGTCGCGCTGTAAGCCCCTGTGGCCGCCCTCTGACTGCCAACTGGCATTTCTTGAGCCCTGCGCCATTTTCACCCAGCCCCTGGACCCTCCTCGCCGCTACAAACATCAGTCTGTTCTCTGCCTGTAAGTCTGTTTCTATTTTATTTTGTTCTTCATATTCCACATATACATGAAATCACATGGTATTTGTCTTTCTCTGACTTATTTCACTTTACCATAATACTCTGTAAATTCATCCATGTCGCAAGAGGTAAGACTTTTCTTTTTTGAATGGCCGAGTAGTATTCCATTGTGTAAATGCACCACGGCTTTACTATCTACTCATCTACTGATGGGCACCTGGGTTGCTTCCAAATCTTGGTGATTATAAATAATGCTGCAATGTACGTAGGGGTGCTTTTGTTCTTTCAAATTAGTGTTTTGGGTTTTTTTCAGATATATGCCCAGAAGTGGAACTGCTGGGTCAGAAGGCAGTCCCATGTTTAACTTCTGAGGCATCTCCACACGGCTTCCCACCATGGCTGCGCCAGCCGCGTCCCCACCAGCAGTGCGAGGCGGGGATGCAGCCTCCCAGCACTTGCTGTTTGTGGATTTATTGACAGCCATACTGACAGGTGTGAGGTGATATCTCACTGTGGTTTTAATCTGCATTTCTCTGATGATAAGTGATGTCTGAGCATCTTCTCATATGTCTATTGGTCATGTGTAGGTCGTCCTCTTTGGAGAAGTGTCCATTCAGGTCCTCTGCCCACTTTTTAATTGGGTTGTTTGGGTTTTTTGGTGTTGTCTCAGTTCTTTATAAATTTTGGATATTAACCCTTTATTGGATGCATCATTGGCAAATACTTTCTCCCACCCAGTAAGGATGTCTGTAGGTTTTGTTGCTGGCTTCCTTGGCTGTGCCAGAATGTTTTAGTTTGACGTGATCCCGTTGGTTTATTTTTTTTCTTTAGTTTTTTTTCTTTTTTTGCCCGAGGAGCTATAGCAAAAAAAAGTATTGCTAAGAGAAATGTCCGAGGTTTTCACTGCCTATGGTTCTTTAAGTGTTACGTTTACCTCTTCAGCCCATTCTGAGTTTACGCTTGTGTGCGATGCACGGCAGTCTAGTTTCATTTTTCTACATGCATCCAGTTTTCCCAACACTATTGTTGAATAAACTGTCTTTACCCACTGCATGTTCTTGCCTCCTTTGTCACAGACTGACTACATAGATGTGGGTTTACCCTAGGTTCTCTATTCTGCTTCCATTGTAAGTGTAGCTAGGATATTCAGGGACCAGCTTCCCTGTGTTTGTAATGAAACAAGTGGCTCATGAACACATCATATATAATAGATATTTGTTTTGCCTTAAATCACCTTGCTTTTTTTTTTTTAAGATTTTATCTGTTTATCTTTAGAGAGGTGAAGGAAAGGAGAGAGGGGGAGAAACTTCAATATGTGGTTGCCTCTCACATGCCCCCAGCTGGCCTGCAACCTGGGCATGTGCACTGACTAAATCACCTTGCTTCTTTAAAAAAAAAAAAAAAAAAAGGAAAAAACCAGACATACTACTTGCGTCAGTCTCAGCTTTACCTTTTGCTATGTGCACTGCTTATATAAAGCTTTAAGGGATATGGATTGATGCACTGATTTTATAAACTTGGGGAATACCATTTTCAACAGGGCTACATGAAGTATTTTCTTTTTTTTTTATACTGACCTTGAAGACATTTTTTTTTGTTGTTTTTGCTTTTAGAGTGAAAAAGGGCAAGAGAGAAGCCAATGCTAGAAAAATGCATCGACTGGTTGCCTCCCATATGCGCCTGTGCACCTGGATTAGGGATTGAGGATCCAACCGCACTCTAGGCATGCACCCTACCCAGGAACAGAACCCACAACCTTTTGGTCATGGGATGATGCTCCAACCAACGGAGCCACACCTGCGAGGGCTACATGAAGTATTTTCTAGAATAGGTTCTCTTATACCTTTTGAAAATGACTTTCTTAAGGATATCCTGACAATCTCACACTCAGAAAACACTATTAATCTGAAGGAGACAAACATTTAATGACTATACTGAGAAAATAAAACCAAGACCAGAGCCTTGCTTTCTGCTGACTTCCAGAAAGTATGTTAAAATTTTCAAATGTAAGAAAGGTAAGTTTTATCTTGATGTCGTACAAAGTGTTGTTAGGCTTTTCATGAACTTGTGTTATTCAGAATAAAATTCATTACTGAAAGCAAAAAAATTATCTATGTACACTCAACTTCATGCCAACATCAGTAACCTAATACTGCTTTCAAGATCTTTCTTTGTAAATTTTTGCCTAATCTATTTCCTAACCATGTTTTTCAGAGGAAAAGATAAGGGTCTAATGTTCCATTAAAGAAAAAGCACTTTTCAAAGTAAGTTAGTGGAGTAAGAGGAGTAAGCCACCATACTTACCATTTAAGGTTATATAAAATATCAATACCCACTTAAATGCCATAAGACAAGCTGGGTAAAATAACCCATCTGGGTTCAGTTTACCTTTCATTTCCCTGTGGAGTTTCACAAGGAGGCCACAAACTATCTTAGAGAGAAGTGGCGCTTTGGGACAGTGAAACTACAAATCTGAATTCAAAGAGCAGGAAGCCGGGGCGATGGCAACTCCCAATGACCAGCGAGGCAAGTCCAAGGGCGCCTTACCCAGGTTGTGCCGCTTCGACTTGGCATGTTCGTGAATATGTTTCTTTGTGAAACAGCCAAAGAAGACACAGTGGAGGCAAGAGTGAAGCCTTTTCAGGTGGACACCACAGACATGACAGATGCACGACTTGGCCTGAAATTCAGAGAAGAGAATTAAAAACCAGCACATGGTATGATAGTTCTCAGAGGGAAACACTGAAGCAAAGCAATCCATCTGCAAGGGGCGCAATTATGGGAGGGAAGGGACGCAGGCGACCTCCTCCTTAAGTCTTACTGTGCTAAAAGATCATTCTGTTAATTCTTTTCCATTGTCCCCAAAGGCCCTTAGCTCATTTAGCTCAGGACCAGCTCCTTGCGAGAAAACAGCCCTCAACCTCAACTACACAGCCGTGAGCTCCAGGACGGCCACCGCAGGCAGGGGTGCAGCCTGCACACCGTCCTCCCACCCCGGCCTGCCCCGCCCCCCATCCCCACGCCAGGCCAGCAACACACAGCCTCTCTGCCCGGAACCCAGAGAGCGTTTCAAATGTGATAATCCGGGTTCCCCAACCACAGAAAATTTAGGAGCAATAACTACACAGAGAGGGACATAAATTAGAGACTATACAGGAACAAAAAAAACAAACAAACAGTTTTTGCCTATAACTAGACCACAGGAATCTAAAATCTTAACCACAGCGGTGACAAGCTCAGCTGGGGACAATTCTCACACACCTCCACCGTCCAGGCACGTCAGCGTCTGAGCCCCGTGTGACAATCACACTTATTTTCACTCTGAATCCCGAGACCATCAGATTGAACATCCAGCCTCTGAGATGACAGCACCCACAGCATGTATGAGTCCCTCCAGTCTTTTCGGGGGGAGAGGATGGTGGACTGAGGCCTAAGTAGGGGATGCGGAAGGGAAGGTGAAACTCCGGGAGGCCTCTGAAAACAGCTGCTGGCAACACAGCTCCCACGCGGGGAGACGCGGGGAGACGCGGGGAGACGCGGGCAGGCCTACTTCGCAGAACTCCATCGGGGCCTGTGCTTTCTTTAACAGGGCAGGTAAGAGGCCATAATACAAAATAGTAGCACACAGAGTGGTGTCCCCGGGTACGCTGAGAGAGGCGATGAAATACTATGAAAACTGAAGGAAGAACAATCACGTCTAATTAAGGAGAATTGGGCAAAATCATAAAAGTTGGTCTGCAAGAGGTGGAATTTGTTCAGAGAGATCAAAATTCTATGTAATCCTATGGCACGTTTCTTAGAAAGGGCATGCTCTCAAGTCACACAGACTAAAGAGGATTAAAGCAAAGCAGAAAGTCCTGCTACCCCTAAGAGAAAGGAGGGAAAGTGCTCAGTAAGCCCCCATCTCCGCCCCTGGCTGACTGCTTCCCGCCTGCAGACCGGGGGCACTCAGCGTGGGACGCGCGGCACCGACCAGGGAAACCGGGCTCACTGAGCTGACTCCTCATCTCCAGAACCTGTGGGTGTCTTCGTATTTGGAAAGAGTATTTTGCCTATGTGATGAGGTTAAGTGTCTTGAGATGTAATGACACTTGATTATCTGGACGGGCCCTAAATGCCACCACATGTCCTTCGAGAGAAAGAGAAATGAGGCCCCAGCAAGGACCCTGTGGCGATGGAGGCAGGGATGGAGCGATGATGAGGCACCCCCCCACCCCCGCCTTCGGAGAGCAGAGCCTCCCCTCCCTCGGAGCCGCTGGAGGGGGAGCCCGCCAACACCTCATTTGGGGCTCCTGGCAGAACTTGCTTTAAACCGTCTGACGTCTGGCTGACATCTGGCGTGCAGTCTGCTCCACACCTATCCCACCAGTTCTGTGCACTAAAGACGGCAGAGGCTTCACAAAAGACAAGACTACTTAAGATCGCACCAAAGGATTGAGCCCGTCTGAAAGAACTTAATGCAGATGCAGAGATTTAAAAGACATAGATACAGTCATACGATGAAGTTCTACTGAATGATCAGAAGCAATGATCAATCCATGCAACGCTGCCAAATGAAAAAAGCCAGTCTGAAAAGGCAACAAGCTGTGTGACTCCATTTATGTGACATTCTAGAAATGACAAAACTATATAGAAGAGCCCAGTGGTTCCAGCGGGTTGGAGAGCGACGGGGAGGTGAGGCACACGGGATGTTTTAGGGCAGTGAAACTGTTCTGTGCAGCAGATGTCATGGTAGATGCAAGACACTGTGCATCTGTCAAAACCCACTGAACTTACGGTGCGAGAGCAAACCTTAATATGTAAATTCTTAACCAACTGGTTAGGCAGTCAGAGGACGCCAGGACAGAATGCAGGTGTCCCTATGCTGGACAGAGCAGCTAGAGAAGCAAGAGAAGAAGGCTCAGCTGTGCTCACTTAGTATGAATGGTGTAATATTTTATTGTAATGATTTGAAGGATTCAGTCAATCAAGCAAGCAAGATATTCATTCCTCGAACAAAAACATTTGAAAAGGAAAAAAGTGAACTTAAAAGAAGGGACATACTCAAAAAAATGAACTGAACTTAAAAAATTTTTAAAGAGGAGGAGGAGGAGAGCCAGGAGAAGCTCTCGGCAGCATTGCCGGCGGCACCGACGAGCCGGGCCGGCCTGAGAGAGAGGCCCAGCCCGTCGTCCGCGGGGCCAGTGACACGTGCCCATTTCCTGGCTCTCGGTCCAGTATCCCAGGCCCTGTGTCCTGGGAGTCTGCCCAGGTATTGCTGTTCCCCAACGAAGATTTGTACTCAAAAGATCAACATAACAGACACTCATACTTCAGGAGAGGAATCCACGACTCCAGAACTGAAATCCACTGATAGAAAGAGATGATCAGTACAGAACCCTAAAGTGAACCATTTTCTAAAACACTGACTAAAGATAATACAAGACAATTTTCCAACGGAATCGCTCTCCCTGTCCCAGCACAGCGCCAGGCCTGGCACCTTCCTCTAACACTCCCCTCAAGCGAGCGCCCACACCCCCACAGCCAGACTGTCGCTTTGTAAAGGTGCGAAATGGAGGCAGGGCATTACCTGCGCTCCAGAGGCTCTCTTAAACTGTCCTGTTTTACATTTCTTTTTTTCTCTCTCTCCTTTACCTGCCTCCCCGCTTGCCGCTTGCCGCTGCTTCCTATTACAATCAATCCTTCCTAAAGTGCAGTTTAAAAATGCATCCCAGGTTTGACATCAAACAGACAATCACCTTTCAATCCATCAGCAGACCAAGACACTCAGTTAATTGCCTCTCTATATGATTAGGATTAAGTGTTAAAAATTCTTAAATTCTCCAACTTTAAAGCTATACATACAAACGAATGAAAGGGAAAATGCACAATGCTGTTACCGTTCAATGGAACAGAGCTGCACAGGCCTGAAGAGTGAGATCACACATCGGCAACAAGTGACAAAAGGAAACCGTGTAACATCTTGTGTACTTACACAGACAAAAGCAAAAAGATGTACTTTTCCTTCATATGGACACGAATATTTACAATTTTAAAAAAATCTGCCAGACCCAGGCAGCAAGCAGATTTTAACAGCAGTTACCTAGGACCAGGGAAGGCTCACCTTTGTAAGTCTTTAAGGTATTTTATTTTTACACACTGAGAACATATTCATATTATCATTTCTGTAACTTTTTTTAAAAAAAGGAAACATGGATTCATAAATTTTAATCTTCCTTAGTAAAACTTACCAACATCTGAGCATCTATCCTGTATGTAAGCATTTTCACTGGACATCTAGGAATAGTCTGGATTTTAACGCAGATATTATCTTGCTATGTGACACTTACTGTTTAAATGGTCTTTTAACAAGTATGATTTCAATTCCTCAAGACAAAATCCAAGGGTAGAAGCTGTCTCTGAGCTGAAGACAGAATGGGAAGTTCAGAAAAAGGGACGGACCCACCCCACGTTCTCCCAAGGGCACCCGTGCCCAGCTCTGTGACGGCACCATGAGACCACAGACACCGGGAAAAACACGCCAGAGCACGGTGCAACTTCTGGATCTTAGCGCCTCCCAGCCTCTCACCTGTCGTTCCCAGACTGATGTCCTTCCTTCTAGCCCTGCTCCCAAACAAAACATTTCCCTAAGAATCTCCACCCAAAGGGTCACTTGAGGCGCCAAACTCTAGGCCCCAGAAGCTTCAAAGGCAGTTTCCCGGCCTCCAGGTTACCACCCGAATTAAACTAGACTCAGTTATGGTCCAAAATTACGAACAGTATGTTTGACAACTCTTCTTCACCTATGGTAAAGTACATTTGGTAAAAGCATTTATTATAGCTACAAAAAGGGCTCTGTTTTGAGGACAAGTTGCTGTAAAATTTAGTCGTAGTTTAGCTGCAGAATTCCAAGACAAAAAAAAAGATTATTTGAAAAAATATATTACCTGAACCCCAAATGCCTGTATGTTCAAAACATAATGCAGACTACGTTAAGTCTCACTGGCCAACAGAACAGAAAGTCCCTCACATTTTCACTGCTGGTTTCCACCTTGGCACATGCACCCTGAAGCGGCAAGACATTTGTCCTGTCTGACACAGGCCAGAAATGCACCGGGCAGGCCGCGAGCGAGAGCCCGGGGTCCCCCTACACTCCGCGGTGCAATCCAAGCCTGCGGCGAACCTACCAAATCTGACCACCTTCTTCTCACTCTCTGATTCTTATCAAAAATCAAAGTTTGGATACAAAAACTATAACCCACCTGTACTTTGGGAAGAAAGGTTTTAACTCCTGTTCACCCAGGGATTCATTTCTGTAGTTACATTGTAGGTGAGTGTCAATCTCACAAGGAATTTTTATTTATTTACAAAGATTATAACATAAATTGGCATTTTTATAGGAAACAAAATATACAAACTGTCAAACTGTAACACAGTTTAATCATCAGAATTAAACTATTTCTCACACCAACTCTTTCTGAGTGGGCCACTAGAGAGTGCTAGAAACTCAGTTACACAGGACCCACAGGGAGGCAAGAAAATCATCCTCCTAAAATTTAGAGAACAGATGAAGGACATTCCTAAAATTTAGAGAACAGACAGATGAAGGACATTCCGGTTCACAGCTGGTACACTACCAAAAGGTACTGCAATACTGAGAGACCCGAAGTTTGAAAGAAATATTTATTACCACCTCGTGTCTCTCTATAGCTTAACTTGTTCAACAGCTTTCGAACTAAGCAACTGACATTAAAACAGCACCAAAACTAATCCAAGCCATATGCAGCAAGATTCCTTTCTTTAGGAAATTAGGCAAAGGAGGGATTAAACTTGACTCCCAACTTTGTTAAATATTATGGGGAGAGGCTGAGGAGAAGGAAAGAAGGGAAAAGGGAGTGGAGAGCAGAGAGCAGGGGGTGCCTCCTTAACGAAGCCCGGAGGTCACTCGGACACGGCAGACAGGTGGACCGAGAACAGGAGCGCAGTGCGAGAACAGAATTTTCATCTGAGCACGGGCTTCAGCCAGATTTTTTTTTTAAGGACACACAATTCCATTAGCAATACCTCCACCCCCACCCTAATGCCGATGTTTCATCTCTGATTTTAGTTCATCCTAAAAGGTAATGCTCCCCAACACCATTACTGATAATAAGCAAATTAAGCTTAACATTCCCTACAATCAGCGGGTGTTGGTTTTCCCACTAAAAAACATATAAACAAACAAACAAAAATGCTACTCGAGGTGCAAATCGAGAACTCTCAACCTCAGACTGTAAAACTGCAAAACCGCCCTTCATTGTAAGAACCAAGTTTTACTCAGGTTAAAGAATACAGTTATTTTCTGATTTCCAAATGATTAATAAGCCTAATCACCTGGATGGAATGTGTATCTGAAAAATAATATAGCACTAAGTACTATTTCCTCAGTGTCTAATATAAGCGATTATCTCCTTGCAAAAGCCTCTAAGGGAAGAACGCAGGTCAGGCTCGACCCTCCCATCAGACTAACCTTTTCTTTCAACCCTGCGGAGGTCGCTTTGTTTGTATCTGTCAAAGGAGCCAAGGCCTCCTTCGCTACAAGTGCTCTTCCTAAATACGTCGTCGTGCTGGTAACCACATGGTTTTCCTAGACTTGGTTCTGGAGGGCCTCCTGTCTCGCAAACCCCGCTCCCTTATCCTGCCACGCCCAAATGTGAAAGAGTTAAAAATAAAAAAATAAAGAAAAAAGGAAGGGAACCTCTCGCAGCATTTGTTGCTGCAGACGCCGGCCTCAGCGCGGCTTTCCCGTCGGACACAACAGCGCCCGCGCCCCAGTAACCGCCCCAGCCCCGACGGCCGCTGCGTCCCCCGGCCCAGGTGGCCCTTCCCGGCGTGCGAGGCCGCGCCCAAGATGGTGGCGGGGGGCTAGCCCCACTGCCGACCGCCACACAGGCCCCGGGGAGTCTCTGTCGCCCTCCTACTTATTTGTTTCATTTTTCTCTCCACGCACCCGTCCCCAACCGCGACCACCGCCCCTCCCAAGCCTGGAGGATACCCACCCCTCCCACGCGGCCCCGCCCCGGAAGGTCGGCGACCGGCCTCCTCGGCGCTAGGCTGCCGACAAAACCGTAAAAGAGAAAACGCCCCCCCAAATCTGCAAGCGCCCACCGCGAAACTGGACACCATCCCAGGGCCCCGCTCCCTCCCCACCCGCGCGCCCGGAGCCGCGCAGCCGAGCGGACCCGGCGACAGAGAGCTGGCAGGGGAGGAAAGGCAGGCGGGATGGGGGAGGGGAGCGAGACAGAGGAGCAGAGCGCCGCGCGCCCCCAACGGGCGCGCGCAGCCGCGGGGGTCCGCGGGAGGCCAGCACGCGCCCCCACCCTCCGCCCTCGCCCCGCACCGGGCCCACAGCGCCCAGCCCGCGCCGGCCGGCGGGCCCCGCTACGGCTTGTAGCCCGGCTCGCCGCTTCCGGGGGGGGATGGGGCTCACCTTGCGCTTGCGGGCCTCCGCCGTGCCGCACCACACGAAGCACTGGTAGATGGCCCGCAAGTTCTGCTTCCAGTTGTCCACTTTGAAGCTACTCAGGTGCGTGCAGCCCGGCGGCGTGACCACCAGCTCCGCATCCATGGCCTCGCTCTCGGGCTCGGGCCGGGACACCATGGGGGGCAGGGCCCGACCGCGCGCGGGGGGCGGCGAAGGGGACGAAGACGACGCCAGCGCGGCGCAGGGGCTGCGGCGGCGCGGCCCGGCCGTCGAAGGGACTGGCGCTGGGGCCGAGCGCGGGCAGCCGCGGGGCCGCCGACGCAGACGGTGCCGTGCGGGCCGGGGGCAGGCGGCAGCCGGGCAGCCTCCGTCCGCGCTGCGCTCTCCGGGATCGCGGAGGGCGGCGCGGGGCAGGGCGCCGAGGCCGCGGGCGGAGGCTACGTCACCGCCCCGCCGGCCGCGGGCGCCGCAGAGCGCAGGCTCCGGCCGCCCCCAGCCCCTCCCCGCCGCTCCGCTTCCTCCCGCGCCCGCTGGCTCCCGGGCCGCTCGGCCGCGCGAGCGGTGACGGGCTGGATCCGAGCAGGGACCGCCCCCGCGCTTACGCCGTCGGTCGCCCGCAGGCCCACGGCTCCCGCGGCGGCTGTTCGGGGCTGTCAGTGTGGGCCGGGGGGTTCAGAGCCGCCGCTAGACGTTCCCGGTCTCCCACAGAAAATTGGGGAGGCGGGGCCTCGCGCGCGGCTGGGTATCGCGGGCTGCCCTGCTCCGGTTTGCCCCGGCCTGAGCTCTGCCGCAAAGAGGCGGAGCAACGAGCTGGGCTCGCGAATCCCCGCAGCCTCGCCGGGCCGCGGCCGCACTGCCGTGGTCCGTGGTCGTTTCCGTGGGCAACGGAAGTCCTGCGCCTGGGACGCTCGGCAGGGAGGTCCACCTTCCGAGGCCTTCCCAGACTAGTACTCCAGTGCCGTCGCCTTGAATTGGAACTGGCACTGCCTGCCTAGCGCTGCTTCCAGGGGCAGTTCGGGGTCCCTCCCCCCGGGAACGCACGGTCCGATGCAGCGCTATCCAAATAAGCAGGATGCAAGTTGCATGTCTAATTTAAATTTTCTAATAGCTACATTTTGAAACATGAAGAACAAGTGAAATTAAGTAACAAACTTTTATCCAGTATAGCCAATATTATTTCAGCATGTAAGCAACACTGCAGAATTATTAACTATTTTACAGTTTTTGGACGAATTTGATAGCTGGTGTTTTACACTTACAACACATCCAGTTCATTCTAGACTAAATTTCAAGTGCTAGCGGCTGCCGTATTGGACGCCACAAGTCTGATCGGTACATGTGTTACCAAAGCAGGGCGGACTGTGAAAAGATCTTTAAAGACAAATGCAAACAGTGTCTTGGGGAGCCAAGGCCCAAAAGATCTGGGAAATTTGGAGGCCGTGTGGTGCTGCCCCCTATACTGGCTGCAAGGGTAACCGGCTTTGCTGCTGTCCAGGGCAGGCTGAGAAAACTGCGGGTTCTGTCCAGACCGGGCCAAACCTCTCACGAGTTAAAAAAAGAAAAAAGAGAAAAAGATCATAATAGCGTCGCAATGAAAGCTGCAGGGTTTAATGGGCTGGGGACTGGAATAAATCATTTCTGGTTAGAACAAACTGCCGAGCACACTTTCTCCCGGGCCTCGGCCCTGCTGCCTGCCTGTGTTTTCCCCCGCTTGCGGGCTTTGGCTCCCTGGCGGCCTTGCGGGGCCTGCCAGGCGCCTCCTTCCCCGCGCGGCCTCCCCTCCGCCGCGCCGAGGCTGCCCTGCGGAGAAGGGCGACCGCCGCACCCGAAGCCCCCCGTCTCCTCACTTATCCTGCTTTATTGTTGTCAAGAGAAGTCATTTACTTGTTTACTTTTTATTTTCTGTTTCTTCTGTGGCGTAGAAACTCCATGTGGGTAATGATTTTTGTACATTCTATTTAGTTCTATATCCCCCAGTGCCAAGTAGTACTAACTACATGAAGGTTCTTAGAATTACCGGTTAATTAACCCAAACACACATTTAAGACCACTCTCAGTAAAACAATGATTAAGTAAGGTGCCCTCTGGATATGTTAGAGAAAGGAATATCTGTTTACTAAAAAGTGAAATCACAAATAGTCTATAAGTTAGGAATTACAAACTATATATGATTCACCTCTATAAATATTTCAAGGAATATTCTAATATCACTGGGCTTAGAAATGATTTGGTTTCAAGAATGTGTACTTAGAATCCAGTCCCCTAATATCTATAATAAGTAACGTTTTTATCGATGTGTCATTTAACAATGGAGGAATTCCTCTGTGCTCTGCCTGAGTTATAAATAATTTAAAATGCTCTATGACCTTAATAGCCACACACATAGATAAATTAAAACAGAATGCACCCTTCGGAAGCAGTTTTCAAAAGAGGCTTTGACAAAGCTTTTTCAGTGCAGCATTTTGGGGGGTGTGGAGCGCAGTTGGAAACCTTAAATGGCCTTTAGTGAAAGAATGGTTGAATAGACTATGGAATAGCCATTCTAGGAAATTCTATGCAGGTTTTTTAAAATAGGAGAACTTTATTTTAATAAAAAGTCTGCTTTTTGAGCTAGCTCCTTCCCCCACAATTAGAAAGAGAGCTTGTTGCTAAAAAGCAGTCCATTTATTTAATCATACTCTTTTTAGGCCATTTTAACTTTTTCCACCATTGTAAGACCACTCTCTGTTTTTCACTTTCAGTCTTCAAACATTTTTCTCAGGAGCATTTGCATCACCTCTCTGTTCCTGTTTCTTTGTCTCCTGCGCTCGGAAGCTTCAGTGTATCGCCCCCTTTCACCGTTCTGCCTTTCCGCCCTAATTTCCCGGTTCAGCCTGAGTGCACCTTTGTAGAATGCACCTTCCGGTTTGTTTCTTCCAGCGTCTGGGCCTCTATCCTGATGTTCAGGATAACATCATACTGAAAAGACTGCACTGCTATTCCCAGGTCTTTTCAGTGGATTTTTTTTAGAGCTTATGTTACTTTTGTGTCTTATGGAAAAATCGGAAAATATATTCTGGAGACATTAAAAGCCCTGGGAGTCTCAGTAAGTAAATATTATGGAAAAGTGTTTTTACAGTTTGGTGCATTTAATTTGGGACTAGAAGACTAAGTATCAATTCCAGGAGGCACAGAGTTTGTGCGAAGGTATCCTTCATAGCGCTCCCTGGGGTCCAGTTGGGGCATCTGGTTTTCTTAAAATACCAGTGGGCAGCCTGACACTAGTCATAGCCATGGTGCATATAAACTTCTCAAGGTCAAGACAAACCAGACGCTTGCATCCTCAAGCTCCCAGCCTTTGCCTGCAGACAGCAAGCAGTAGGTGCCAGGGCCGAGGGTGGACAGTGTCAGCCCACCGGGCTCTCACGCCCCTTTAGCCCCCGGGGCATCCCAAAGGCGACCCGGCCTGGGCCGGAGCGCAGACTCGGGAGGAGATCCGGAAGGAACGCCGGAGGCGCTGACACGCTCGCTGCGCTGCGCTGCGCCGGTTTCTCAGGCACTGGCGAGGGACACCTGCAGCTGTTTTATTAAAAGCGAAAGATCTGTAAGTACTAATACGGAAAGCCTACAGGACAGAAATGAATGAAACAAACTGCAGGAAAATACAGAGTGTGCTCACATTTATGAAAAAATAATACTATATGTACATGTGTATGTATATGTGTGTGTCTTTGCTTAATTCCGTCACCTTCTTTCATCCAGTCCTCTCCCTTCCCTCTGACAGCTGTCAGTCTTTTCCATGCATCCACGCCTCTGTTTCTACTTTGTCAGTTTATTTTGTTTATCAGAGTCCACATATAATTGAGATCATATGGTATTTGCCTTTCTCTGACTGGCTTATTTCACTCAGCATAATAATCTCCAGGTCCTGTTTGTTGTCACAAAAAGTAAGATGCTAAGATTTCCCTCCTTATGGCTCAGTAGTACTCCACTGTGTAAATGTACCACAGCTTTGTTATCCACTCATCTACTGATGGGCACTTGGGCTGTTTCTACATTTTGGCTATTGTAAATAATGCTGCAATGAACATAACGGGTACATATATTCTTTTGAATTAGTGTTTATGGATTTTCTTGATATATTCACAGAATTGAGATCACTGGGTGAAAAGGGAAGTCATTTTTAATTTTTTGAGCAAACTCCATATTGTTTTCCACAGTGGCTGCACCAGTCTGCATTCCCACCAACAATTCATCAGGGTTCCCTTTTTTCCACATCCTCACCAGCACTTTTTGTTTGTTGATTTATTAATTATGGCCATTCTAACAGGTGTGAGGTGATATCTCATTGTAGTTTTAATTGGCATCTCTGTGATGATTAGTGAGGTTGAGTGTCTTTTCATATCCCAATTGGCCATCTGTATGTCTTATTTGGAGAAGTGTCTGTTCAGGTCATTTGCCCATTTCTTAGTTGGGTTATCTTCCTAGTGTTGAGTTGTACAAGTTCTTTATACAATATGTTTTGGAAATTAACCCCTCTACCATTCACTGTGTTCACTTTTCATTTGCTTGATTGTTTCTTCTACTGTGTCAAAGCTTTTTAGTTTGATGTAATCCAATCTGTTTATTTTTTTTCCTTTGTTTCCATTGCCTGGGGAGGTATATTGGCAAAAATATTGCTATGAGAGATGTCTGAGATTTTACTGCCTATGTTTTTTCTAGGATTTTTATGGTTTTATGACATTCATTTAAGTCTTTTATCCATTTTGAGTTTATTCTTGTGTATAGTACAAGTTGGTGGTCTAGTTTCACTTTTTTGCTTGTACCTGTCCAGTTTTCCCAACACCATTTGTTCAAGAGAATGTCTTTCCTCCATTGTATGCTCTTGCCTCCTTTGTCAATAATTGACCATAAAGGCATGAGTTTATTTCTGGACTCCTTGTTTTGTTCCATTGACCCATATGTCTGTTGTTATGTCAGTACCAGCAGGCTCTTTTAATTATTGTGGCCTTGTAGTAAAGTTTGATAATCAGGAATTATGATATCTCCAACTTTGATCTCCTTTTGCTGCATCTATTAGGGGTCTTTTTGCCGAGTCTTTCTGGTTTCATATATATTTTTGGAATATTTGTTATAGATTCGTGAAATATGCCATTGGTATTTTAATAGGAATTGCATTGAATCTATACATTACTTTGGGTACTATGGTCATTTTAATGCTGTTAATTCTGCCAATTCATGAACATGTTATATACTTCCAGCTCTTTGTATCTTCCAAAATTTCTTCAGTATCCTGTAATTTTCCAAGTACAGGTCTTTTACCTCCTTGGTTAAATTTATTCCTAAGTACCTTATTTTTTGTTGTTGTTGTTGCAATAGTAACTGAGGATGTTTTCTTTTTTTTTTTTAATTAATTAATCTTTCCAAATACATTTGTCTCTGCCTAC